TACTATATATATATATATATATATATATATATATATATATATGTGTGTGTGTGTGTGTGTGTGTGTGTGTGTGCCAATGAACACATTTTGTATTAAATATTTGGAGAAGAGAATAAGTCCAAATATTTCTAATATTAATGTTTTAATTGTTTGTGAAAATTATGAGGTATAAAGTTCATTCGGCATTAAAATTGTGTTTTTAAAAAAAAAAAGACTTCTATAATTCCTACGCATGGGGAAAGTTATCAACATATACATTCTATCTTTCCAAAATAAATTTTATAACCAGAAATTTTAAAATTTCCACATTATGTGAATAGAACTAAAGGAAAATTAATAATCTTCAAAAAAAAATCGTACCTAATATTCGTTTTTCAATTTTAGAGAGGGTTTAAGGGGTAACATATGGGCCTGAAGGTATTTTGTGGGCCATAAAGTTTTAGACATGGAGGACTGCATCTTTTACACTTTGAGCCAATGAGATCATTGGAGATGAACAAAATTTAAAGATATTGATGCCACTATGATATATTGTACTCATTGCCCCTTACAGAAAAACAATAGCGTCCGTGGTCCGCAACTTGCCTGAAATCTACTATTTCATGATAGGAAAACCAAATCTTTCAGCATCATTTCAAGGTCAGCTCTACATCTTTGCCTTCATTATCTCCATATTTGATTGGCACATGTCGTCATGGAAGGGATGCGACAGGTTCTTTAATGACAAAAAGTCACCAGTTGATCTACCAAGCCAGTTGTAGGGGGGGGAATGATAAAATTTATGTAACATAAATATAGTTGACAACGCGTATGATAAAGATATACACTACTTGTTAATTGATGCAGTATAAGAAAATGATTGCAAGTATCTATATGATACTATTGTTAAAGCATTTGTACTATTTGACCCTGAGTTACTTGAATCTAAACCTTGAGGAGTTCATTATTGAGTTATTGAATTTGAGGATCAGTTCCCTCAAGCATTAACTGAGTTTGATTGATCCTGCAAAAGAGAATCCAAGTCATATGCTTCTCTTAAAGCCCATCAGCCTCCAAAACTATATATTGGAACCTCTCACATGTGGATGCGGCCAAGCAACAATCAATGTTCAAAAATTCAGCTGCCCGACCGCATAGGCAGAAAATTTTTCAAAACGCCTAGGTGCAGTCTGGGCGGCAGCATAAAGAATTTTGCTTCTGGGTGCCGCCTAGGCGCTATTCTCTAGGCGGTGCCGCCCCATGTCAATTTTCGGATGGAGGAAAGGGTAAAATACATAATTTTTCCCCTTTAAAAAGGGGGAAAAAGGGTTTTAGGGGGTATTCTAAACCCCCAATATACAATCTGTGGCATTTAGCGTGAGAAAAACCGCACAAAAAGCACTATTTTGTGATTTATCGAAAGATCGATAAATTTTATATTTTTCTGATTTCTTCCCAAAATGAAGACAATAGTTTGTGGGTGGATTTGGAGTTTCTAATATTTAATTTTGAGAACTTTTGAGGACCCAATAGACAAGGTTTGTACCGACACCGATTTGATTTTGATATTTTTTAAGTATTATACTATGTAAGAGGGTTTTGATTTTCTTTTACTACAACACATTATGTCATGAATCATGTGTTTTTTCTTTTACTTTTTTTTTTCTTTTACGATATATTTACATGTTTGTAGCTAAAAGATTGATTTTTTTTCATTTTTTTTTCTCACTTGGACGATGAAACTAAGCATATATCGTATTCTTTTCTAGTATGGACTTCTCAATGACACCCCGCATTGATTCGTTTCCTAGTATGGATTTCTAGTTTCCTAGTTCCTACAATGACATTTGGGACTTCAAGCATTTTAATGTCTTACAACTTACAAGTTAGTAGTAACTCATTGTACTATTGTATTGTTGTACTATTAAGTTTTCGTCTATTTCATGATCAGGAGGAGTTTGGGGTTTTAAAATTGCCCTAAAAACTCCCTAAGGCTATAAACCAGCCCTAAGAGCTCCCCTATTTTTTATGTTTGGGGTGAGGGGGGGTTTGATTTTGGTCAGGGCTGCCCAAACTGCCTAGGTGCCCGAATCCGTTTTTTAGACCTTGGCAACAATTAAGGGTGGCAACGGGCCAGGCCAGCTCTGGCCCTAGCGCAGCCCTTGTCCCCTCCGGGCCACGCAGAACCAGGTCGGCACTGCACTAGCCCGGCCCTCGGGCCACAGTCTGTGACCCATACAGTGGCCCAGGCCATACTTGTTAGGACCGGGCCAGGCCACGCGGCCCATTGCCAGACCTAGTAACAATAGGTTTAGTTGCACACAACTCTATTAGATACACACAGTGCAAATAGATCTACAAAAAGTAATGAATCAAATGTTGAACAAACAGAAAAAGAAAAGCAAAAGAGTTAGCCACCCTTACAAAGGAATAAAGTGCCCATACATTTACTGTGGCCATCCTAGTACCGTGGCCATCCTAGTGGCTGGTCAGCCAAATATGTCGAAAGGCCTATTTCTCCCTCTAACTATTTTCACCAGTAAAATGGCACATTTTTTGTCTTCACCATCACTCATACAGCCCTAGAGTATACAGTCGTAGTTCACAATTGTATGCAACTTTAACCATGCACTTGGGGGCTCTTAAATGTGAACAAAGTTAAGCTGTAATCTGCAATTCTACGAGTCACTCACAGCCCACTCCAAAATGCAACAACACAGGCAACCAAATACAAGAAATTGGAAATCCTCATTTCATGAACACACAATTACGAGCCCAGACTCAGGCAGAGATATGCCAATATCCCCAGCCCAAGTCAGAGGAATCAGCGGTCCTACTGGCCCAAGTCTCTATGAAATATAGAATAAAATCCATGACTCTAATCAGCATCACCCCAAGTCTTATGGTTATTATCCAGACCAAGCACTCTTCTGGGTCGGAGTGACTCAGAAGAGTGTCAGCCCAAGTCACGGGTTTTTTAAACACTGCAGGGACATGTTAGAAAATCATAAGAAACTAATACTCGCTCTTGGTATAGTCCACGCTTTATATCTCGAGGAGCTGGTTCTTCACCTCATGAGCGATGAATTCAAATGCCACTAACTGCAACTTTCTCTGCATTATTTTTCAAAAATGTCATTGACTGCAGATTGTGCTCTATACTGCCAATTACAAATGAAGTGAAAACAATCTCTAAATAATTGGTATTTGTGTGAAATGTCTATTATTTTATTGATAATTTGTAACCATAGCATTGTCTTGCTAATAATCTAAAAGGGACCCTCATTATTTTAATAACTTATGCCAATGTCTTCCATCAATCAATCTTCACTTGCTGAAGAACTCATTGCCCTATCCCAAGGTTATTCACCATATTCAGGTTTATTGGTTCCTTTCCAGCTTGGATGCACGGTTACATATATAAGCTTCGCATACCGGTGTCACGATGAGACAACACTAATTGGTAATGGATACTCCTAAGATAATGCAAATATAAATGCCACATAAATATATAGAAATATAATATGAATAAAATATAAAATTATGAATTATGACACGATTTGGTTTATATATGTATAAATATCCCAGATACATATACTAACGCACTATATAAACTTATAACATGTGTTTCCGTGTGTCAGGATATAATAGTATTCATACCATTGTATTTTGACTTCAGAGAACATCAAGTCATATACTCGTTCTCCACATATCTGGACCCATAACTCAGCATCTCAGCTTTCAAGCCTCCCAAATGACCAAATCATTTCCAATAAGAAAACTGGAAACTAGTTGCAAGACATTTTCCATGCCTACAGTGTACCCTACATGTTACCAATAAAGTATGACAGTGCTAAAACTAAAGGAATGACCAAGATGATGAAGGAAGGAAGGTCCAGAGCAGATGCAAGATATACTGAATATAGGGAGCAGACCCTAAATAAATATCAGGATGTTTTGGAAAGAACAAACTTATTTTATCAACAATGTGAGCAGTATTAGGCCCAGATGTAGCCAGGTAAGGCAATCCACCAATGAACCTCAAGGATAAGACTATCCAACAATGACCTTCAAGGAAAGCTCAGCTAAATTCCTTAACTTTGACTTTAATAGAGGTTTATGCATGGATTAACAGGTCTGGGAGAAAATTTTGAAGGTCCATGGGAATGACTAAAGGCCACCAGTTCCATCTATTAGAGAGAAAAAAGAATGCCAATTCTCTGAACAGCGTCGATTAAAGAAAACCACCAACACCCCAAATACAAGTTAACTTGTAAACATTTACTTCTGGCAATACATGCATGCAATCACACTACACAAACAACGAGACCACGATTCCACATGCTTCATTTGTACCTACAGGGAGTCATGTTCAATTCAAGTTTCCCAAACATTGAACTACTACAAGCGAAGCCCTCCAACGACTGCCAATGCACCATCGACTGCCAATGCACATTTAACATTGAATAAAGAAACTCTCGACATTAACACTCTCCCAAGAAACCATAGGAAACCAAAAGCAGAGGAAAAGATAAACAAAAACGAGAAAAAGTATTCCACATTCAACAATACCTTCCAATTCAAATGAAGTACCATTACCATAATCAATTCTACTAGGGATCCAAAAAGAATTACAGAAAACATAAGGCATTATTATCACTATCATCATTACACTACTAAGGGATAATTGAGATGCATACCTGTCCCAGCAGCTGTAACAGCCTGCCTCCACCTCTTATCCTGAACATCCCCAGCAGCAAAAATCCCACGAACACTCGTCCTCGTTGTACCAGCCTCGGTAACAATATACCCTTCCCGGTCCAATTCAACCTGTCCCTCGAGAAACCCAGTTGCTGGTTCATGCCCAATTGCAAAAAAGAGCCCTGAAACCTTCAATTTAGACACTTCCCCCGTTACATTATTCTTAATATTTAGACCACCCAAGTTCGCCACCTTCTCTTCATCCCCAAAAGCCTCAATTGCCTCTGAATTCCATAGAATCTCAATCTTGGAGTTCTCAAAAACCCTCCTCTGCAGAATCTTCGAAGCTTGAAAGGCATCTCTCCTATGAATTATGTACACTTTGCTACCAAACTTGGTCAAAAACAGGGCCTCCTCCATTGCCAAATCTCCCCCTCCAATCACAGCAAGAGGCTTATTTCTAAAATTTGGGGCCGCTCCATCACAAACTGCACAGGAAGATATCCCTCTATTCCAAAACCCATCATCCCCTGCTCCATGAAAATACAGTCTTTTGGCCACCGCCCCAGTTGCTATAATAACAGTATCAGCAATCACAGTCCTCTTATCTGTGTTTACCTTAAATGGAGTATCCAAAAAATTAACTTGAGTCACAGTTTCAGTGAAAATTTGGGTCCCAAAAGTTAAGCTTTGCGCTCTGAACCTTTCAGTGAGCTCAGGCCCAAGAACGGGCTTTGGAAAGCCAGGAAAGTTCTCAACCTCAGTTGTGGTGGTTAGTTGCCCACCAGGTGCTACATTATTGGCAAGATTACCTTCAAAGAGAATGGGGTGAAGCTCTGCCCTAGATCCATAGATTGCAGCTGTGTGGGCAGCTGCTCCACTACCAATGATGCATAGTTTGGTTCTTGGATGCTGTCTTGGAGTTCTAGAGAAACGGGCTAAACGAAGGGCTTTATTTAGCACTGACTCTACTTTGGAGGCAATACGAGGGAGGCATGATATATCAGTTATTGGAGAACAAATCTTTGGCATTAGGCCAAGTGTTTGTTTGTAAAGAGGGAGAGGGAGACCAAGAGAAGGTATTAAAGAAGATAAAAGATTTTTAGACATTCAGTTGTAACATTCTTATTTATATGGAGAGTATCCTTGGAGAGAGACCAAGGAAAACAGCACAAATTAAAGAAATGAAAATCCATAAAAATATCATTTATTTTTTATATAAAAAGTCACACTTAAACATGTTTAACATATTTTAAATCAAGTGGTTGTAACAGTGCTCCATTGACTGCACTTAAAGTTAAAAAAAAAAGAACCTCTCAAACTTTGCGATATACTCCAAACCATCTAATTTGACATCTAATGATTAAAACTAATCATAACCTCCATTTAACAAATATAAATGGTCTCATAGTGTACAATTCCTTTAAGAAAGTTCCCACTTTATCTTTGGGCTGAGTTTTTTAAGGTGTCTTATGTAGAAATTATATGTCATGTAATGAATATGGTTGATTAGATGTTTTAAAATTTTGGATTGGATGGTTGGATCAATTGTTGGCAAGCCCAATCTAGATCGCCAATCTGGGGAGAATTGGATTAATGTGGGAATGAGTGCTAAAATTTAAAAGTTAAAAACAAAAATAAAATGAGGGGAGCCATGTGGTTTTTCTTTTTTTTGGGGTGAATTAGTAAAGATGTCGAGCCCCTACCTGTTTTATTAGAAAAAATAAAAATATATAAGACCAATTATAAGCATTTTACACCCCGTGCAAGGGGAACATTGGCAACATCAAATAACAATAGAGGATCTTATTCATTTGGGGGACGAGCACGCCAAATTAAAGGCCATGTCATGGCTGATGTCTTCTTTGCAAGATAGTCAACAACGATATTAGCCTCCCAGTTTGTGCGAGAAATCTGCCATTTGTGATTTGCGAACGAGGAGATGTTTTGTTTTTTTTTTTTTTTTTTTTCTTTTTGGATAATTCAGTGGGAAAGACAGGCCCCTATCCATTTTTTCAAGTAGATTAAGAGTTAGCTTTTTGAAGATGTTAATGAAGGGGTGTTAGTAATGAGAATGAAAACCACAATGTGGTGCGGGGTGCTACCACCGCGACCCCTTTTGGCCATGGAGGCTTGCAACTTTTTTTTAAGGATTCTACGAGTAACTTGGAGTTGCTTTCAACGAGTAGAGGTATACATTTGTATTCTTTTACCTCTAAGATGAACAATTGCAAAGAATGGCATTCAGCAACATGGTTGGAGTTGAGACCCAAGGGAACTGCAAAGGTTGCTATAACGCCTGTCCATCATTCTTTATTATACCACCGCAACCAGCAGCTCCAAGGTTGTGGATAAAAGAGCCATTTATATTAAGCTTGAAATGACCAATAAGAGGGAAAGACCATACCACCTGGATTGAAGCAGGAGTCCGAACACCATTATAAATTGAGGTTGTCAGTGATGTTACGCTCTGAATGATGAAAAGCCCAACCTTTTGCCTTTGCAAGGGAGCCGACAAAGTTGATGATCTGCCTTAATAAATTTTCCCTCCTCCATGTAAGCAAGAATTGCGTTCTTTCCAAAGGTACCAAATAGCAATAGAGAAGATAGATAACCAGACATTCTTCTTACCACTCGATTTAAAGCGGAATTTGATCTACTTTGCGAACGTTATAGTTGTAGGCTGCTCAATCATTTAGTTCTCTAACAAAGAGACCAATCACTTGGAATAGGTCTATCCCAATTTTTTCCAAGAATCGGCGCAGTTGGCTATTCTCAATTCGGACTGTTAGTTTTTAAAATCATGGGTTTAATAATACACTAACAATAATGTCATACATTATTACAACCCGAAAAAAAATACCGTGTTTTTTTGGTACGTGGTTATTTTCTTGATAATTTGAATCGTATAGATGTTACATGAGCATAAAAGAAACTGCTTATTGGAGAGGCAAAAGGCGGAAATATGAACTCAAATGAGGGCTTTATTTAATTAAATTACTTTATGCCAACTTGTGTAACAAAGCTTAGAAGACATCTTTGGGAAAACTCTTAGGAAAGGAGATTATGGTCATTTTACATTTTCTGTTTGGCACCAAACTCAGAGTTATATATTTCTTTTTTCTTTCTTTTTTTTATCTTTTTTGCTATTGTAGAATCTTAAGGCTCATAGAGTTAAAGCGTGCTTAAGAAATCATCATATAATAATCGAGAAATTGCAATATAAAAAAGGGGTTTTTGATGATTTTGAAATCTTTTCTACTAGGTAATCTATTGTCCTTATGCATGAAGATAATAAATTTGATCGTTGCGGTCGGACTCTATTATGGATTTTTAACCACATTCTTCATAGAGCCCTCTTATCTCTTGAGCTTAGGCTTTTCTTCCCCAAGATATATATATATAATACCCTCCTTAGACAATAAAATCATTCTTATCTAACCTATGATGAATTAAACTATTCACGTTCAAAAGGAATTGTCCGTTTCTCATAAAAAGTAGGGGAGGAATATGTTTATTTCCAACTTTTTTTTATTCTTTCTTCAGTTTGGAGTAAAGTGTGGTGATAAATTATTCTTTCCTTTCTAGTTTGGCAAGAGATATACTACCATCTAAATCAGCCCCACATGTGTTTATATCTATGAGGGTAGAAATAAGTATGGTTAGATTATTTGCAAGTACTAAAATTTGTCCCAAATTAGAGTAAAATTCGGTGATAAAGGATTCGTTCCTTTCTAGTGCAGCAAGAAATATACCACCTTTTAAGTGGGTCCCACAAGCATTTATCTTTGGGAAGGGGTTGGGGTTATGGTGGTAGTACCCCACATTTTAGTCGTCACGTTGTGTTTCCAATCTCACTACTAACACCACCTCACTAATACTTTCAAAAAGCGAACTCCTACTTGAAAAAACAGGCTGGGCATGTCGTCTCCATTGAATTACCCAAAAAACGAAAGCCGATATATAGGAAAGCGGCTGGGTTGTGGTGGTAGCTCCCCATATCTAGTTTTGCCATCCACTAACACCTTCAGAAAAGCTCACTCCGTAATCTATATGAAAATATGGGTAGGGCCAGTCTTCCCCACCAAAAAAAAAAAAAGCCAAAAGATGGGCAAAGGGTTAGGGTTGTGGTGGTAGTATGCCCTATACCTTAGTTGCACATTATGTTGTCCAATCCCATTGAATTATTCAAAAAAAAAAAAACAAAACCAAAAGATAGGAAAAGGGTTGGGTCGTGGTGGTAGCATCCCATACCTAGTTACCACATTGTGATTTCCAATCCTACTGACACCATCCACTGACACCTTCAGAAAAGCTAACTCCTTAATCTATATGAAAATATAGGTAGGGTCAGTCTTCCCTACTCAATTAACCCCAAAAAAAAAAAAAGCCAAAAGATGTGAATGGCTTGGGGTTGGGGTTGGGGTTGGGGTTGGGGTTGTGGTTGTGGTTGTGGTTGTGGTTGTGGTGGTAGTACCCCCTATGCTTTGAAAAGCTAGCTCCTTAATATATATGAAAATATAGGGAGGGTTAGTCTTCCCTACTCAATTACCCAAAAAAAAAAAAACAAGCCAAAATATCTTAATGGGGTTGGGGTTGGGGTTGGGGTTGTGGTTGTGGTTGTGGTTGTGGTGGTAGTACCCCCCTATGCTTTAATTGCACATTGTGCTCTCCAATCCCACGGACACCTTTAAAAAAGCTACCTCTCTAATCTATTTGAAAATATTGGTAGGTGCATATCTTTCCCACTCAATTATCCAAATGATGGGAAAAGGGTTGGGGTATAGGCAAATATGGGTAGGTGCAGGTCTTTCCCACTCAATTACCCAAAAACAAAAACAAGCCAAATGATGGGAAAAGGGTTGGGGTCATGGTGGTAGTACCCCCTATGCCTTAGTTGCACATTATGCTCTCCAATCCCACTGGCTGCTTCAAAATCGTAGTTATTTAATACCTAATTAGTTGCCCTAGTTGCACATTATGCCTTAGCTATTTAAGACCTAATTAGTACCCCCTATGCTTTAATTGCACATTATGCTCTCCAATCCCACGGGCTGCTTCAAACTCTTAGTTATTTAAGACCTAATTAGTTGCCTTAGTTGCACATTATGCCTTAGTTATTTAAGACCTAATTAGTTGCCTTAGTTGCACATTATACCTTAGTTATTTAAGACCTAATTAGTACCCCCTATGCCTTAGTTGCACATTATGCTCTCCAATCCCACTGGCTGCTTTAAAATCTTAGTTATTTAAGACCTAATTAGTTGCCTTAGTTGCACATTATGCGTTAGTTATTTAAGACCTAATTAGTACCCCCTATGCCTTAGTTGCACATTATGCTCTCTGATCCCACTGGTTGCTTCAAAATCGTAGTTATTTAAGACCTAATTATTTAAAAAATAGTTAGGGGCTTGTATTTCACATTGAATTACTTGAAGAAAAAAAAAAACCAAAAGATTCTAGGGTTGGCAACGGGCCGGATGTGGACCGATCACCCTTAGCCTAACCAGCCCTAGTCCCCATAAGATCGACCCAAGCCCTGCCCGTCCTTGCCATATTAGGGCCGGGCCATAGAGATTTCAAGGAGAAAAAGTATAGAATAAAGGGGCCAGGCCGGGCCAAGCCAAATCAGGGTTCCTAATGATTATGATTTCAAAATAGGATTGGGTTTAAAAACAAGAAAATATATAATAATTATTATTTTTAAATATTTAAGTTTAACCGGTGATACTTTAAATTTTAAAATTATAGCATATGATAGAAATGAGCATGTCTACTATGCTCCCTCGGAAGTAAGTACTTCTACTCCCTCAGTTAAAATACCTACTTGGGAGCATTTTTTTTAATCTAAAAATTTAAGAACTACTTCAGAATTGCTAGATGATTAATAAAATTTAAATTTTAAGTTTTCTAACACGTAGATCTCATCATCTAAAAATTGGATCATCTCTATTTAATCTCAAGACATTATTTTTTCTAAACTCATAGAGGGTGCAATTTTTATTTATTTATTGAAGTTAATCTATGAGTTAAAGAGGCTAAGACCGAAAAAATTGGGGTCCTAAAAGCAATTCTAGGAGGG